AATTTGAAAAAAAAAAAAAAATTACATTTCCAAAATTTTGGAAGTTAGTAAGGTTGATAAGTATAGTCAATTTCACTTAAAATAATTTATGTAATATTTCTACCCTCCGTAACTTGGTGTGTGAACTATAAATTTTAGTGCCCATCTATGATTAGAAGTGGGTGCAATGTCCTGTCTCTTTGCTGAAATAGTGTTCACATTTTTAGTACTAAAAAAAGTTTTTCTTGAAATAAGTGTGAAATGTCAAAGGAATCAAACCAAAGCTAGGCTTGTAGTACTAGCTTTTGGTGTAGAATAAGGTTTGGGATTTATAGTTTAGAACTAAACTTAACCCCACCAATTATTTAATTAGGTGCATAAAAGGGTGGATGGGAGGTTGAGCTTTTTGGTAGAATTTGTTGCATTGCATTGCATGCTACTTCTTCTTTCTCCTTAGCTTTTGAGTGCAATTCCACCATTCCTAATCCACCATTAATCCTACTTATCATTATTAATTGCATCTCATAGTCAATGGTTATCATTTCTAGCTACGTACTTTATGTTGGTTCAACGTTTACTCCATTACAATTGAGTATGTTTCTTACTTTGTTTTTGTTCTCGAGAAGGGATTGATGGAAATAGCAGTTTTATGTTTTAGTTAAGCTATTAATACTTGTGTGATTAAGCTGATATTATACTTGTGTGATTAAGTTGATATTCTTGAAATCGCGTATGCGAAGTGGTGTTTTAAAGTTTTTGTGTGCACGTATTTGAAGAGGTAAAAAAATAAAATAATAGAAAAGTGGGTCTGGACTAAGTTAGTGGAATAGAAAATAGAATTTGCCAAAAACATAAAACAAAATTGAACTGTCATTTCAGTCCTGTTTATCGAACAAGTGATTCAGAACTGAAACTGAACCGAAACCAAACTATGGTCATATCTAACTGGAATAGTTTAATGTTGGAGTTAATTCCAGAAATGGTCTTTCGATTATTGACATTTACCAATTTTTATTATCGACTTTTAATTTCACCAAAGTTGGCCCCTTAACTATTGATTTTGTTTCAATTTTAGTCCTCCTGTTAAATCTCTGATAGATAGGTGTTAAAATTGAGGGCAAAAATGTAAAACCAAAAATTTTAACCTTTTTCTTCTTCCCTTCCTTTCTCCTCCATCATATTTTGAATGAAACTTTTTGCCAGAATTTGAAGCAATGGCAAATAGTGATTGGAACGAAGGGGAGTTAATTCCAGGAAGAAATAGCAAAAAGTTTTGTTCAAAATAGGGTGCAGGAGAAACGAAGGACATAATAAAATGTTAAAATATTTAATTTTACATTTTTGCCCTCAATTTTAACACCTATCTAACAAAGAGTTAACAGAAAGATCAAAATTAGAACAAAATCAATCGTTAAGGGACCAACTTTGGTCAATTAAAAGTCGAGGACAAAAATTGATAAAAGTCAATAGTCGAAGAACTATTTCTGGAATTAACTCTTTAATGTTGAAAGCAAAAGGTAATTAATGACTTAGTTATAACTCCGTACTAGTTAAGCAGTCATCATCTCGGACATGACTGTTGGAATTGAGAAACATATATATATACATCAAATCATTGGCGGTGATCCCTTTGCCAAATTGGCGGATTTTCCTTATCTTGATTTTGAAGGTACGAATCACTATAACCACATCACATTTTGTGAGCCATTTCAATGGTGGTTTAAACCTCAAGATATTCCTACTATCATTCTTCCTTTAGCATGATGAAAAGTAACGTCAATCTCCCCTCTTCTAGAACCACACTTACTTAACAACATAATTAAATTCTTTAATCATCACCCCTAAATCATAATTATTTAACAAATTTCTACTGTGATAATTAATATTGGTGTCATTTTGGACCGCATACAATTATGTATATGGTGTTTGCGCTGTATTAGGTGTTGTTAATTAACACTTTTCTCATAATACTTGGTATAATCTGGCATAGCATGTGTGGTTGTACTGGTTACAAAAAGCATTGATTGTGTGTAATTAGGCATGAGTTTTTGTTTGTAAGTTTAACTCCAAACATCTCTTGATGCTTGGAGATTGAGGAGGAGATAAATTGCAAGATGTGTCTCAATTAGCCTACAGATCCAAATGCTTGTATACTAGTGCCCACAACAAAGTTATTTGAATAGTGTACCCTGTTTTTGTTAGCAAAACAAAACATATAAACTTATTTTGGGTTGGTAGACCGATTGGGCTATGCATATTGACAGAGGTTTTATTTATAGTGTTGAGGTAGGGACCACATGTCAGAATCTCATCTACAGGTCTGGTGTGGTGGTGCGAGTGACTTAGGTTTAGAGCAAATTACACTTTTGGTCCTGTGACTATTGGGGGTGTGTTAATTTGAGTACGTGACTTTTAAAACTAACAATTTAATCCTTTAACTATCATTTTTTAGCAGATTTGGTCCTCCAGGCCAAATTGCCGGTGGAATTTGGCCGGAAAGACGTTCGAATTTTTAAATCAAACGCTATTTTTTTTACAATTAAAAAGACCGAATTACCCCCACTAATATTTGATTTAAAAATTCGAATGTCTTTCCGGCCAAATTCCACCGGCAATTTGGCCAGGAGGACCAAATCTGCTAAAAAAATGATAGTTAAAGGACTAAATTGTTAGTTTTAAAAGTCACGTACCCAAATTAACACACCCCTAATAGTCACAGGACCAAAAGTGTAATTTGCTCCTTAGGTTTATCACAACACGTTTTGGATACTCATACTATATATGCATGGATCCGTGATCGACAACATAAAATAAGTGATTAGTACTCCGCCTCCATGACCAATCTCCTGATCTTGGAGAGCGAGAAGCATGCACCTAGGTCTGATGTGGTGATGCACTACTGGTGACTTAGGTTGATCAACACGTGTTGAATACTCATACTATGCATGGATCCGTGATCAACAACATAAAAGAAGTGATTAGTACTCTACCTCCATGACCAATCTCCTGATCTTGGAGAGCGAGAAGCACCTAGGTTTGATGTGGTGGTGCACTACTGATGACTTAGGTTGATCACAACACGTGTTGGATACTCATACTATGCATGGATCCGTGATCGACAACATAAAAGAAGTGATTAGTACTCTGCCTATATGACCCATCTCCTGATCTTGGAGAACGAGAAGCACCTAGATCTTATTAGGCATATATCCCTAATTTTGTATTACTAAATTAATAATTAATTAAAAAAAGAGATCATTATATATTCTAAAGTAAATAAAGTAAAATAAAACATGGGGTTTAATTTCAACGTGAAAATAGTTTTCCTAGATGACAAGGGGTGGTGCCTATTGGCCAGTGGGAATAGAAAAGTTATGATTTGACCAGCTTCGATTCAATTCCCCCCATTGTGCATTATATTGAAGTGATAGTGGTGTGGATATATGCATGATTCATTCCCCCTTTGCTTCTTCCTATATTTATGCCAAAACTTAGTACTTTGTCACGCTTCAAAAACAGGCACGTACAACGTCAGTGAAATCAAATCGTAACATGATTCGATGGATACCAAATTGAGGAATTTGTACCTAAATATCCAAAGGCAGCCATTTGGTTGGTTCAACTCTTACCCACCCCCCACCCCCTCTGCATAAACTCCCTGCTTTATTGTTCAAAGTCGCTACACCTCCTTACAAAACATAGCATCCAACTATTTCATCATATTCAAACACCCCTCTCACTATCCCCACCATCATCCCTATCCACCCGCCTGACTCTCGTTTCACATCAGAATCATAAATAATATAAGATAAAGGTACATAAATATAATAAGTTCTTTTTCTATGTTTGGTTGAATGACTATCGTGTCACTCTCAAATTTGATCCTGACTTTTAAAAATAACAATTAGGTACACAACTATCAATTTTTTAAAAATAAAACCAGTCCGGCTAGAAAGTGACATTTTTGTCCACAAGTAACCGAAGTCAATATTTTTTTTTTTAACTTGCAAAAAGGCAAAAATACCCTTGGAGGAAAAAAAATATTGAGTTCGGTTATATTTAGCCGAAGAAATCATCTGACATACTGATTTCAATAAAACGTGATAGTTGCATACCTAACTTGATGTTTTTTTTTTAAAAAAAAAGAGTTAAAAACCAGATCTGAAAGCCATACAATAATCGTGAAATCGAAAGCATGAAAACTTTTAGATATGATTGTGTAAGAATCCATTTTGAAGAATGGGTGATGCTAAATCAGATAGAATCGACGCCTAGGCGCTAGGCGGTCCCTAGACGCCTAGCGATTTTTTCAACATTGCTATTTTGATCGTAGATCATCTAAACGACGTATCGAGAAGTTATTAGAATAATGAATCTAAACGACGTCTTGAGAAGATATTAGAGTAATAAATTGTCACACACAACCGTACTCCTAGAACCACCCTTATTAGTCACTTCTCATCACGGATGATGACAACAAGGAGTTAATACCTCCAAAGGTCCTCCGAGTATTAGCGATTTAACAACTGTGGTCATTCGAGTTTTAAATGACCTCCAATGGTCCTCCATGTATTAAAAAAAACCACCCGCGGTCCTAATTCTTAAAAAAATGGAATTTAAAATAACCATGAGACGTCCTAAAAGGATCACTAGTGGTTATTTTTTTAAACATTGAAGATCATTGGAGATCATTTAAAACTCGAATGACCATAATTGATAAATCGCTAATACTCAGATGACCATCGGAGGTATTAACTCTAACAGCAAGTGTGAGAATTGACAAATAGCGGCCAACCCTCTGCCTACTCTAAGCCGTTGAAGCCTCACAAGAGCAATGGGTATTAGGCCACGTTGTAAATTCCCGTCAAAGTTATCGTCAACTCTAGAGAGAGAGATGAGAGAGAGAGATCGTGAGGGGCAACCTAGGAAGGACACTTGTATAGTTGTAGTAACCAACTTCTACCCAACTATAACGTGGAGATGAACTTCGAAAACGCCACATAAATTTATAATACCGTCCAAAATCCCCACTTATAAAAACCCACAAAAACGCCCCTTCTTTTATTTGTGTACCTTCCAACAAGATATCTACACATCACTTACACAAACCAAATTTGTTGTACCCAATATGAACTGGACCCGTGGCCGTGCCATAGGCCGTGGCGCCTCCGCCACCGTGTTCGCCGCCGCGTGGTCGGATTCCGGGGAGGTGTTTGCGGTGAAGTCGGCCGAGGTTTCCCGGTCGGAGTTCTTGGAGAGGGAGCGGGCGATTCTGTCCAGTCTGGAGAGTCCTTGGATTGTTGGGTATAAAGGGTGTGATGTTACGAGGGAGGAGGGGAAGGAAATGTTTAATCTTATGATGGAGTTCATGCCCGGCGGGAATCTGCTGGACGGAATCCGGGTGAACGGCGGGAGGCTTAAGGAGCCGGAGATTGGGTACTACACGGAGCAGATTCTACGGGGACTGGAGTTTCTACATTCGAGGGGTGTTGTGCATTGCGACATTAAAAGCCGCAACGTTTTGCTGGGCGAGAGTGGTGCCAAAATCGCCGATTTCGGCTGCGCGAAATGGGTCGGTGATCGGCGGTTTGCGGCGGCGGCGGCGGCGGGTATAGGCGGCACGCCGGTTTTCATGTCGCCGGAGGCGGCGCAGGGGAAAGAACAGGGATTTCCGGCTGATATTTGGGCGTTGGGGTGTACCGTTATTGAAATGGCCACCGGCGGCGGCTCGCCGTGGCCAAACGCCACCAACCCGGCGTCAATTCTTTACCATATAGCATATTCCGGGGAATCTCCGCAGATTCCGGCTTTCCTCTCCGATGAAGCAAAGGATTTCCTGGAAAAATGCCTGAAAATAAATCCCAGAGATCGATGGACGGCGGCGCAGCTCCTCAACCACCCATTCCTTCAAGAATCAAACTCCATTCCCAAGCAGAATCAGAATCAGAGTTCACCCACGAGCATTCTTGATCAGGGGATTTGGAACTCGATGGAGGGCGAGGATTTGATCCGTACACCTTCATCATTAGATTCTCCGTCAGGAAGGGTAAGAAGATTATGGTTGGGTTCGCCGGAATTGGCAGAGTGGGAAGGGAATGAGGATAGTTGGACCACAGTGAGAGGCGGTGAAAAGGAAAGTGCAGGGTCGGTGACAGCTTTTAGCAGTAATGGAATGGAGGTGGAAAGGTGTCGCTGTTTGAGTGGCGATAACTTGTTATTAAATTACGCCGTAGATGACAATGTTAGTTGTAGAAGTTGTTGCTCTACCGGTACAGAGCAGGGAGTAGTTGTAATTACAACTCTCAATTTTGAGAGACGCAAAGACATATCAGTAAAACAACTTCCATTTTTATAAACGCCCTCTCTCTCTTTCGTCAGTTTAATGTTAGTTTTATGTAACCAGTTTGGTTGGCGTGAATGATTGTGTACTCTCCAGAGTTCGAACCACCTCTGGTGTAGAAAATCCGGCCAGTGCTTTATCGCTTAATTGGGCCGGCCCGGTGCCAATTAGGATTAGTCTAAGTATGGTAGGGACTTAAAAGTGCTTCCTATAGTTAAGGTTGCTCATGACACCTCATGACTTGACTAAAAAATATATTAGTTTTCCATTTCACCCTGACCCCGCCATACAAGATAGTATAGGAGTAAATTATAGTGATTCAGCGGTGTCCCATTAGGCTTGCCTGCTTGTCTGCCCACCACATTTGGTTGGTGTTCCATTAGTCCTGCTTGCCTGTTTAGTGCCTACCACATTTGGTTAGTTTTCCGTTTCACCCCGACTCCCGCCATACAAGATAGTATAGGAGTAAATTATAGTGATTCAGCGGTGTCACATTAAGCTTGCCTGCCTGTTTAGTGCCCACCACATTTGGTCGGTGTTCCATTAGGCCTGCGTGCTTGTCTAGTGCCCACCACATTTGGTTAGTTTTCCATTTCACCCTGGCCCCTACCATACAAGATAGTATAGGAGTAAATTATAGTGATTCAGCGGTGTCCCATTAGGCTTGCCTGCGTGTCTAGTACCCACCACATTTAGTCGGTGTTCCATTAGACCTGCTTGCCTGTCTAGTGCTCACCATATTTGGTGAGAGTAACTTTCAGACTGCGATTATCAAGACTCGGTCCCGCACACTGAGCTGCCTATGCAGCCTGAACTGAGCTGCCCTTGCCGAGCAAAACATGCCTAAAATCAACATACAAAGCCAAATATCATGAATATGCTGTCAATACCTCTTGTTATAGTAGCTGGGACAGTGTTGTACTGTCATCGCCCGAACATCACTATGTGAGGGTTCAAATCCTCTGAAATTCGAAATTATTATAACCAACAATGTGCGAGTTCAAATCATATTGACAGAATTCTAGCAACCTCAAATCCCCCGAAATCTAACAAACAATGTGCGGGTTCAAATCCTATTGACACAATTCTAGCCACCACGGCTATCGTGGTGTTCTGCACTGCTGACAGGACTTGGAAAAACAGACATTGGTCTCTTAGAGATGCTGGTTTTATGCCAATGTTCATTAACAAGGGAATCAAGGATGGCATTTTGTATGGTTTTGTTTGATGCCAACTGCTTAAAATAACATAATTTGGGGAACTATGAACTAGGTTGATGATGTTATCATAACCTGAGAAGATCCAAAACTCATAAACATACATACAATCACAGATAACATGGGGACGTGTGTTCATAATCAACCAGGAAATATAAAGACAAGTTTTGGTCTGAACATAAAACGATATCAAAACTATTAATCGTTTGCTCCTCGTTCGCCTACTAAGTATTCTTCTTGCCATTTGAATGGGATAAGTTTTCGTCGAGTGCATGAAGTTGGCTTCGAAGATGTTGATTCTCCTCCAGCAACTGGCCATATTCGAGTAGCAGTTTTTCGGACTGACCTTTAAAGGACTCGGAGTTGTCTTTCTGAGCTTTCACCTCTTCCCCTTTTGCTTCGCATTCTGATTCCAGCTTCTTTATCTTGGACTTCATTGAGGCGATCTCCTCTTTTAGGGAATTGACCTCCTCCACACCGCCATTCTTGCCATTATCAAAACCTCGATCGTGTTTCTTTGCAGCCTCCATGGCCTTCCTGAGCAAGCGGAGCTCTCTTATGTAGTGATGCAGCCTGTCTATCATCAGCGAAAGAAAGAGTACAAACCCTGCAAATAGGCGGATATCAGATCACGTTGCATAGAAAGAGATCAGTTTAACCAACAGGCCAGCAATTATAGTAAAACAACCATGAAACACAAGGTTCTTAGTCAATTTGATCCAATACAACTGTTTTTCTTCTCCCAAAAGGTTGAATCCCCAACCCCAAGGGCCCCCACACCCCAGCCCGATAGAGCATTTGGGAGGATGTAAATCACGGTGACTCAATGGCTCAGCAGACAGGGTCAAATAACAGTGCGCACAAGGGATCTGTCCACTTTGGACATAATCCCCACATTACCGTCGCCGAGGTTCGGACCTTGGTCTCTTCTCCCAAATACTGCCTACTAAACCATCAGCTAAGCCCGTGCGGGCAATAATACAGCTGTTTTTGACACAATGGTTGGGTGTTACCAACTTATTCAATAGCGGTCTAGTTGATTCTAGCATCTCTAAGTTATAGGCTTATAGCACATAACACGTTGCAACTTTACGTCTATTATACTATGCATAGAGCATTCCCGCAACCAACAACCAAAATGGAAGCATTACTCATAGATAGTATTCCTTAGATGTTAGACATGCTATATCACAAAATTATACCCGCCAGGCCGCCACTAAGAAATACGCTTACAATACAACGTTCTGAGTCTTCAATTATGGGCATGCTGAAAAGTAAAAGATTACTATACGCAAATAAAAGCTTTCAAGCTCTCTCTTTAGGATAACAAAAGACCAAACTACAAAATCAGGTCATCAATGCAGTTCCTGAAAAGGTAATTGTTAGCCATCAGATAGATAACTAATAAGGCTATAAACAACTCATGATGTTAGTTATGCAAGGCATCTTGCAAAAAATCCGGCTACAATTTCAAGAAATTCAGAAAACCAGCAATTACAAATATTAAGACAGAGAACATTGAGGGTAGAAGATTAACCAAAATCCATTCTTTCAGCCAAGGGGCTGAGATACCAAATTGCTAAACAATAAAAATAAACTATCCCGATGCCCAAGAATTGAGGAATTAGAAACCCAAGACACAATAGTGAAGACCAAACCACCGATAACCAGAAGCGACAAGCCTACAAGCTAGGAACACACACACAGTTGAGGAAAGGGTACATATTTTAACCTACAAATTTTTTCATTTATTGAAACTCATAGGCAAGATCTTTGTTTTTCTATTGAAATCCACTAAATCAGTGGGTTTTTTTTTTCTTCATATGAATAAGTATCCTCATCTGCCTTATTTTCAGCAAATCATAATCTTCAAAATTTCCAGTAAATGTCATAAAGACTGATACTTTGAGAGTGATAGAGGTAAACTAATCAGTAATCCTATCTATACCTAAATTAAATCAGAGCTCATTTATGTTAAAAGATTTGTTTTTCTCTAAAAAAAGAGAACAATTTGATAAGATTCGGATATTCCAATGTCTAACCTAAGGCCAAATCGAAAAGATACTTAAATTAAATTAAATTAAAGAGATCAAAGACAAGTAACAGAGAGGGGGAGAGAGATACCCATGAGGGAGGCTTGAAGGATTTGCTGGGCAAGGAGGACCTGATCGGTGGGATTGATGCTTTCGAGTGGTCGCGACTGGATTTCTTGGACGGAGTAGACGGTGTAGATCATGAGCACAAAGACGGTGGCGGCGACGGACTTCACTACGAGCGGGCCGCGGCCGCGCTTGGCCCGGTCCAGGCTGATAATCAGCAGCTTCCGCAACGGCGTCTTGAAGAGGAGCAGTAGTATCACCGCCATCTCCCCGAACGCCACCGTGAATAGCAGCTGCGCTTGCGCCAACATTTTTTTTTTTTTTTTCAGATTCTTGGAATCAAAGTGCCGCTCTCTTAAATCAAAGATTCAACTGGAGAGGAAACTATAAATTAAATCAAAATTCACACAAATAAAAGAAAGATGAGGATTTCGACGTTTGATTTTAGGATTTCTAGGAGCAGTTGAGCGCCGTGGTATTACCGTGTTGGAGCGTGTCGGCGGGATTTGCCTTTTTGCTGAATAATAATAATTTATAACTTTTTTTTTCCATTGTCCGGAACCAATGATTATATATAAGTTATATTATAACTGAATTACATTAATTAAAATAATGAATATAAACAGGCTGCGGCCTAACCTAGCTCTGTTACGATATAATATTTGTTAATAACCGTTCACTAAGACTCAAATCCACAATCTCTCATCAAGAGAAGAACTTGGTGTTATTGTTTTCCATATGAGAGAGCAACTTGATGCTACTAGACCATAAGGTCTTAAGCAACTTATGACAATTTATATGTATTTGATTTAAATAATTGTAATTGTTAACGCTGACCTGAATACCGCAACACGTGGAAACTATTGCGCGGCCTCTAAGCTTACTAAGTGTACATGCTGGTGCCTAGCATGTTTTCTTTCCCATCCCTTTTAAATAATTCATTTAATGTTAGATAAGGGAAACTTTTGACATTTCCACATAGTCATTGTCGGCTAGAGACTCTCTAACCCATTGTCATCTTTCCTAAGCTCCCAAATACCACTACTCATTCGTATGCAACCGCATATTAACCACATCACTTAGTAAATGATAATTTTCAAATCTTGGTTATTGAACTAGATTAAGTGAGATTGAAAATGAATATAAATTATCATTCAGATTTTGTTAGTCGAATATGGTCAAGATTCAAGTGACAAAGGGACTAAATTCAACATGAATATAAATTGTCATTCAGATTAAATTAGTGTGATGTGGTCGAGATTCATAGAAATTGATTGGAGCGATATTTTAAGGGACTGAATTATGCATTTGATCAATCAATTTACATGGAGAAATATTATTCTGTTCTTCAATCTTCATTTATCATTATCCAGGTGGAAGAACTGAAGAAGAACCACATAATCAAGATTCATACCAAAACAACAGAATTAATGAATAAGTTAAAAAATTTAATTTGGTTCAGTAACATCACATTCCCTGCACTTCAACTATAAAACCATAACCTTAAACTTCCCCAAAAACAAGAATCACGTAGAAGAAAATCAAGAATCGAAAACAGCCCAACTTGTGCTGGCATTCTTGGTTGCAGAACTTGCAGTTGTCATTATACATTGAGCTCCCATTGTTCTTCTGTTTCATCAACAACAATCTCAGACTTGCGCCCTAAAGCTCGACCACAGAGAAGAGCATTCTTAGGAATCGGATTCTCGTTCCTCAAGGAACTCGAATCAGTATTTACCCGAAGATAAAACTGCTGACCCAAGTACTGTCGCGCCCAGTTCGCTGATCTTACGTTCCACATTCCTACGTTGTCTAGTGGCATGTAAATTGCAGTCCATGATTCTGGATAAACCTGCACACCATGTGTTTGAAAAAATGAATGCTGGGTTTGATGTTTCAAGAATTTAAGGGGATTTGTCTCGTCAAGATGGATGAATACCTGAACTGTGCTGCGAGTTACTCCATCTCTCAAGTTGTAAACTGATCTGCTACCAGCTGACCACTGTCCACGATTCATCCTGTTCGGGGATAAACTAATAGTGAGACTACACATTTATATATATTTTATATGTATGGACGAGATAAAGAGAAATATACACATTACCCCACTACGAAGAAGATTTGGCCGTCTAGGTGCCAAGACTGCAAAGTGTTTTCAGGATTCTGGAAAACAACCTCAACAAAGGACCTGAAATCAGCAGCCATAACAGAAGTCTGAAGGCTAACAGGGCTGCCAATGGGGCTGTCCTTAATGCTTCCGAGGGTGAATACCCCCCGGATATCAAAGTGGTCTGCAAGTTTAAGCGGAATGTCTGCTGGGAGGAACGACACGCTATTGACAGCATATCTTCGCTTACCATTGACGATAGGAGCTGAGTTTTGCAGTATAATTGTGCGAGTGATATTCACCTCTCCATAGTGGTAAGAGCCTTGGGGGTTCGGCCTCGGTCCACTCGCTGTCAGATTCTGTCTGCATTCACAAACAGTTAACAGTTTAAACTGATAGTGAGACTATTGAAAATGAAACAGTTAAACAGTTAAAAACTGATAGTGGGACTATTGAAAATGAAACAGTTAAACAGTCAAAAGTTCAAACTGATAGTGAGATCGACTTGAGTACTGGAAACGAAACAGTTACCTAATGGCCCGGGCCTGATTGAGAGACCAATCAGTCTCGATAGTTGGACCGGGTGGAGGAAGGCCAGAAACAGTTTGTTTCGAGTTTTGGTAATGGAGGATGGATGTTGCAGCAAGAACTCTGGAGCTGAAGCGGGTAGACGCCACGAGATAATAGTCCTTTGGATCTTGATTTGCAGTGAGCAAAATGGAGTAGGATTGGCCTAGATGAACATCCAGGGAATCATACACATTTTGCAATGTGTGTGTTCCTTCTGCTTCAACCACCACCAATTTGTGGCCCTGGATTCTGAAGTTAATGGAAGTTGTGAGCCCAACATTGCATATCCTAAACCTGTAGGTTTTCCCTGCAAGCCAACATTATATTCTTCATGCCTGAGATTCTGTCAACCAAATTAAAGAATCTTAACTGTTACCCTGATCAACTGTGAAGGTGAATCTGTCTGATCCATGCCCGTTGATTAAAAGGCCATCTGGGACGGGAAGATCGCCCCCACGGTCCAAAATCCCTTTCAGATCCTGCAAACATGCATTGTAAGAGTAGTTTGATTGGACTAAATGAATTTTCGAGACTACAAGAAGAAACTCACGTTGTGACTTTTAGTGAACCAGTCACCGACGAGAATCTGGTATTCTCCGGCGGGTGGAGGAAAGGGTACCGGAATCTTGGGACGGCTATCAATCTTGATGGCGCCAAACCCTCCGGCGGCTCTGTGCATGGCCAGGGATGGGAAATAGAAGAAGGTTCCGATCTGATCCTTAACTTGAAGGGCGTAAGTATAGTTCTTCCCCGGCGGGATTGGGCAGTTTGTGCCATGAACGCCGTCCTGCCACGAGTTCCTTCTCTGCTGCAAACCGTTCCTGCCCAGTTAACAACATTAACACAACAACATTATTAATCAATCAAAACTATGTCGTACAATCTGTCTCAACAAATAGTCTAAACTGATAGTTGGACTGAATTGATTCTGATACTAAATTGAAAGATGTGTTCTGTCTGAACTAAATAACAAATAGTTAACACTCTGATACTAAATTGAAGGATTACGAATAGTTGAAATGAAGATATATGTTTATATATTATATTATATGCTACCATGCATTCATATAAAAACTCACCATGTCAGCAGGAATGGTTCATCAAGATTGTTGAAAACGTTGACGATCAAGTTGTCATTGGTAACACTCTCAATCGGCGGCCCGGGGAATTTCCCGTTTATCAATATCCCCTGCATTAATCAAACCTTTTCAGCATTATGGGATCCTCAAAAAACAGTGAAATTGGAAAAAAAATAATAATAATAATAAACAAATTTACCTTTTGCTTGACTCCAAGAGGAGAGATATCGCCATAAGTAATGATCCATGTATAGAATCTATAAGGGTCTTCCCCATTACAGAAACTCAACAGGGAAAGCAAAGCTACCGCCATTAATGGCCGCCACAGACTCTTCATATTACCTTCCATTCTAACCCAACACAAAGCGGCAACTGGAAATCTTTGAAGAAAAACAGACAAAACAAGAATGGGTACACGAGACTAAAACCAAAGCCAGCAAGAAACTTTCCTATGTTATTATCCGATATATTACCTCAGATTCCTTCTTTCTCTTTTTCTTTTTTGCTTTTTTTTTGGTTTTCTTCTTTAACTTTAATATTTGCAGAGAATGGATCGAGAAGAAGAAGGTGAGGTGTAACTTTGATTTGCAGATTTGCACTGTTTTATTCTAACATTTCATGAACTGCTCATGATTAGATGTTACTCCTTTACCAGCTGCTTTGACATACGCGGTAAATTAATTTAGTAATTAATATCAAAGAGTGTACGTGTGATAATCATTACCAAATAAAATGCTGCATTATAGGCATACATTGTTCACAAATGAAGTTAATTTCCATTCTAGTCTTAGAACATTTTCACATTTAATTATATATATATATTTTTACTTTGAATATAATGCATTCTTGGGTTTTTTTTTTTGTTATGCCAAATTTAATCTTAAAAGTTATTTTTTTTATCATATTTAATCCCTGTCTAGATTAAATTTGACAACAAATTTCAAGCTAAAATGTAATAAGATGAAATTGAAATTAAAAAGAGGAAGTAAATGTGAAAATGTTACTATAGTGTTAAAATAAACGTGTTTTAAGAATTTACAGAAAACAAAACACAAATGAAATGATACGAGTACATCCACGGGTGAAAATCAAGAATTGGGAAAAAGAAAAGAAACAACCCAAGCTACTAGGCCAAGGAGAGAACAAAGGAAACCGGCATGGATGGCTGATTACATTTGTTAGACTAAGTTTATTCATAATAGGATACATTAATTTAGTCCTAATACGTTATTATATCATATTAATTAAGAATCATAGTCCTAAGCATAATAGGAGTAACTTAGTATATAATCACCCTACATGCTAGGGGAAAGACATGCGAATTATTATTATCTTTTTATTCTCTACTATCATCTTCCTTCTCTGAAATCTCTCTCCCTCTCTCTCCCTCTCTCTCTCTAACTTTCCCCTCCCCTAATTCCATCTTTGGAGTCTGCATCCACTCAAAGCGGTGCCGGCTTGATACGGGTTCGTATCATGAAATGTGTGATTTTTTTTTTTTAAAGCACTAAAGCTCGAACTCACGACCTTCCATATAGGAATCCAACATTGGTGCCATTAGATGCAAGGTCTTGGAAAAATGTGTGATTTTAATTTGATTGAAATGTCATAATATAAACTCATTGCAATTTGCATTTGCATATAATATATACTCCGATTACTGAAACCTTATCTTCAATCTTTTTCTCTCTCTCTCTCTTTCTCAAGAGTAGTTAATTCATCGATAGAGTGAAGAGTTGGTGGAGAAAAAAAAGGGGATTTGGAAGGAGGATGAAGACAAAGATTAAAAAACCCTAATTTCCACCCCTAATTCAGTGTTAAAATCTCTATAAATCAGGTTTAAATATACACCATAGATCAAACTAAATAAAATGTTAGGATAGATCACTATACGAGTGTGTGAACCTAAACAACTTGGCTGGTGTTGCATTATTGATTAATTATATTCTTTCAAAGTGAGGGGGTTCCTTGTGCGCAGTAAGCACAGGTCTAGCCTCTGTGGTTCATGTTCAATTGAGTTACCATGATTTACATCCTCCCAAATGCTCTGTCGGGTCGGGGTGTGGGGGCCTTAAAGTTGGGGTTCAGCCTTTGGAAGAATTATATTCTTTTAATTTGAATTTATGTTGCATTCTTGATTTATTTATTTATTTATTTATTTATTTTTGCAAATTCAATCTTAAACTTTTATTTTTATTTTTTATTTTTTGGTCATATTACATCCTTGGCTAGGACTAAATTTGACAACAAAATTAAAGTCAAATTGATACGGTAAAATTGAAAGAGATATAAGTAAATGTAAAAATGTTACTACAAACCTATAACGGAGTATGTTAAAATGAGCATGAGGTGTTTTAAGGAATTAAAAGAAAAAAAAAAAAGAAAAAAAAGGAAACACAAATTAATTGTGTGATCTTAATTTGATTGAAATTTCTTAATATGGACTCATTACAATTGCATATTGCATATTGCATATATATATATATATATATATATATATATATATATATATATATATATATATATATATAGAGAAAATTTCAGTTTTGGTCCACTGACTATTGGGGTTGTATTAATTGCAACACTTGACTTTCAAAAATGATAATTTAGTACCTTGACTATGCAATTTCTATCAATTTTGGTCACGCCGGCCAAATTGCCGGCCAAATCTCACCGGAAAAATTTAATAGGTCAATTTATGAGGGTATTTTAGTAATTTTACTCACCATCCCTTTCTTCTTCAATGAACTCCTCTCCGGCGACGACAACCTTGATTTAAAAACTCCATTTCCGGCGGCGAAGCAGTATTTTTGTAGCATTTGCGGCGTTTATTTCCAGAGCCATAGTTCACTGGGCTCCCATAGCGGCCATCACACTAAAGCAGCTCGGAAAATGCTCCCCAGTAAAGTCGATAAATCTTCTTCTTCTTCGTCTAATGATGTTCACGACGATGGCTGGGAAACCGCGGCCGCAGATGAGGACAGAAATGGTGGTGGCGACAATAGAATTAATAATAGGCTTGGATTCGATTTGAATGAAGTCGCCGGAAATGGAGTTTCTCGCCGGGGTCTCGCCGGGGAAGAAAGGTAAAGAGTAAAATTACTAAAATATCCTCATAAATTGACCTATTAAATTTTTCCGGTGAGATTTGGCCGGCAATTTGGCCGGCGTGACCAAAATTGATAGAAATTGCATAGTCAAGGTACTAAATTATCATTTTTGAAAGTCAAGTGTTGCAATTAATACAACCCCAATAGTCAGTGGACCAAAACTGAAATTTTCTCTATATATATATATATATATATATATATATATATATATATATATATATAAAGAAGTTAATGGAATCCTTACCAAAAAAAAAAAAAAAAAAAGAAGTTAATGGAATGTATTTTAAAAGAATTCCCTAATTAATCACGCACTCGCATTTCTTCTTCCAAAAGGTTGAATCCCCAACCCCAATAATCACTCACATTCCAAGTAAGGAAAGATATTCTGATATAGAGGAAGAATAAATAATGTAAATATCATTCCTAATGTAAAAATTCCCTATAATTCCTATTGTTAATTATAGATTGACTAGTATCTCATCTCATTATATAAATATCGAATTTTTTGTTTTGTTTTTGTTTTGAATTAGATCCACCACAAAACTGGTAATTTGTTAATAAAAAAATAATAAGCACAAAAAAAAAAAATGTAATGAGACACTAACTTGCGAGTGTCCTTTCGGCCTTAATAATCCGGCTATCAATATTAAAACAGATATAAGCATGACAACTTATTACACTCTAATATGTAAGAATGGGAAACTAATGCCTAAAAAAAATTATTTGTGCGACAAGATAGTTATTTCATGAGAAATGATGTAGGATGTGGGGCATGTTGCACAACTCCCTCTCCACACACGCACTGCTGCAAATTATGGAATTTTCGATCATTTCAAAATGATCTTAAATCAAGTCAAAAACCTTGTTCCGACCACTTTTAGTATCCTGAAAAACCTTTGTTGCTATTTCAGGCCACTTTTTATTTTCAACTTGATTTAAGATCATTTTTAGGTGGTCGGAAATTTCATAATTTCCAGCCGTGACGTACATACCCATGTCCATGCATGCCACATAGGAGGGTGTAGGGGTGCAGTGCAACGTTTTCAATTTTTTAAGTTCTTCTTACTTCTCTTTAATGTTTGCTTGATCGCTCATACAAATTTGTATTTTGTACTTTTTAGTTTATCACTTCGTAGCCACTATTTAAAGTTGTGTTCTGTGTAAAACATGCAGTGTGATCTTAACCAATAAATATCACTCAGAGTATAGTTTTTAATTTATCACTTGAGTGTTGCAAAAGTAGTTATATATAACCCTTGGTACTGCAAAGTTGCCATGGGCAGCGTGTTGGGCGTCGGCCAGGTTGGTTGAGTTCAGCCTCTGCTCGATTCGAGACGTGACACTGTGGCTTACCATGGAAAGATGTGGTTAAATGGTTAATGTCCACCTATTTATCACCAATTGGTTTTGAGTAGGATATGACAACCAGGTACCATAGAACTCTGTGGTTAAGCGTGCTTGACTTCCGACAATCTCGCGTTGAGTGACCTCCAGCATCTAGATGAAGCTGTCCGACTTCTAATAGATCATGAAAGTTGAACATATTGTAGTCTTAATTGCATTATATATAGACCTTTAACTTTCATCAATTGTGAGTTAACCTCTCAGTTTGTGTTGAGTCAAAATATAACGTATTGGGGACAACCGTACCCCAACTAAGTTGGCTAGATAATTACATACGGGCTAAACAGAAAAGGTGTGAGTCGCGGCAATATGACGATTTAAGTGTCTGCAGCCTCCTGAGGGTGTGTATTAGGTATACCTCACATTGTGATCCTAGTCAGCAAAGGATCACATATAATGAGGTAAACTGGCTGACTTAAGTCAAGAAGGCCGTTAGGCTGATCTTATTGGGCGCGCGTGAAACTTTAACCTTAATTATGGTTATCAAGTCAACAATCCAACTAACTTAGTTGTTCACCTTAGCCAATTAAATCCTTTAGTTTATGTGTATACAATAAAGACATAATATTAATATTATTATAGAAAAGAAGTTACAAGTTAACATCTCATCTCATTATCTTAATATAACAAGGAGCACTGCCAAAGAAGCCCCCTTTCAATATCAACCTGATGGCAAACTAACGGAGAATCTTGACAATGACATTTACCATACTTCAAACATTCTTTTGTATAACGTCAGCACATGATCAATATTATAATTATACAAAATTTTACCATTATTCTTATAAATATTATATATCATATATTATCATTCATAACAATATTGTATTGTACCTTTCACTTATTATACTGTTATACATTATAATTCTGATACAATAAAAAATATAACATCATATCACTGAATATAAAATAAGATGCGTGCAAATAATATAAAGTTCTTTTTAATAACATCTCGTGCATATATATGATCTCATCAAGAAAATTAACCAAAGCATATAAAATATATGCATGGATTCCATGTGAGGATATATATATATATATATATAAGCCAATAATTATTAAGTGGCTTAGTAATAAAATTGAAGTTTCTTTAGGGGAACTCTTCAAACATCTTAGGCCTTCCCTTCTCCATCAATGAAAAGGGATTCCCACTTGTTAGCACAAAACTCTTCATCAGCTTCCCTGCACAAGGAATATATATCTATCTATGAAAATTATTTTCAATAATAATAATAAAAGATTTAGGCTAAATAATAATGCAACTCCTATTAAATTTATGATCGAGTGATATAATTGTATTTAATGATTTTAAATCAAAATCAATAAATACCTTGCAGGTATCCAGATTCCAGAATGCAGCATCAAGAATATCAAATAAATTTTTATGGTACAAGGAGAAAATTTCAAATTAAATTAAATAATATAACAACAACAACAATAAAAACCAGTGATCATCAGATCATCATTAAAATTAATAGACAAAAGATCAAGAAGAGGGGATTTTTAGAGGGGCACATACAGGGCATAAAATTAAGTTAATTAATTAAAGTACCTTAAAGGGCATGGAGCCATGGAGGGGCTGATGAAGAAACCCAAGAAGTTGAATGGGCATTGCAGAACTGGGAGATGCAATACAAAGAAGCTAAGCAAAGGCAGGCAGAGAGATAGATGCTTTAATATGAACAGTTTGAAGGGAGGGTGTATATTAATACAAAACTTACCTGAACATTAAGAAAAAGAAAAAACAAGAAACATGGGCCGGAGGATGTTTTAATTTTGTCGAGAGAGAGATGCTTTTTCAGGTTCATTGAACCTGGTCTGGTACCATCGCATGGAACAAACAGGGTTTTGAAGAGAATGGAGTACGTATAGTATAGCAAAACGCACTAGAGAATACAGCCATAGGTTATAGGTAGAAGTGATGTGCCTACCTACCTTTTGGCCTTTTCCTGTTTCACAAATATATACAAACTTATATAGTGTTATTTGCGTGTTGGAATATAACGAGTTCTTTGGAGTATAGTGGTTTTGTCATATTTAGTCTTAAATTTTTAAATTAATCACCCGTGATCTTTTAACTTTTAAAACGTTACCATCTGTGGTCTAAGTTAACCATCTATGATCCTTCAATTATCAAATTTTAACCACTCATGATCCTTCCAGGATGGTCGTGTCTGGTTAAATTTTGAAAGTTGAAAGGCCACTGATGATAACAATTTGAAAGTTGAAGAATTATGAGCGGTCAATTTGAAAGTTTACGATTAAATATGAAAAAACTATTATACTTGGAAGACCTCATATGACATAATTCTTACCAATCTAACAACTTAACCAATTTGGGTGGATTATCCCGATTTATTTATCTATTTATTAATATATCACTTATAAATTAATCAAATAAAATTTGTATGTATTTATAATTATATGAAAATTTAATAGTGTTATACATAGAGGTGCATGGGAAAAAGCAAAAATTATGATGGCCTAAGCATAAAAATCTACTAGTGAAAGCCCAGGCCGGGTTGGCAGCTGGTCCGAACTGCCTGTAATTGGGCTATAGAGTTGAGCTGAACTTAGACCCAGTCCAGGTCTTTTAGGGCCTGCTTTATATTTGTAATTGGATTGTGAAATGAGCCAAAACCTAACGATGTTGAATTGAGATTTTATTTGGGACGAATAGAACTATACAAGTATGCAACCCTAAAACCAGACTTCAACTGATGGAGCGTCCATGGTGCACACGGTTACAAAAACGACATCGTTTTGACGTTCAATTTTTTTTAAAAAAAATCAGTTTCGATTGCCATTAACGGCTTTATGTTGTGCATAATTTGAACTATATAGTTCATTCATTCTGAATATATAGTTCATTCATTCTAGATATATAGTTCAAATTATACACAACATAACGCTGTTAACGGCAATCAAAAATGATTTTTTTTTTAAAGTCAGACGCATCGTTTTTAATCAAAACGACGCCGTTTTTGCAACCGTGTGCACCATGGTGCACACGGTTGCACGACATAATTTGCGTCAACTGAGGTGCCCGTTTTTGACTTCATGTGACCACTATTTGAGAGTTTGTTGATTCTAGCAACAAAGGATCACAAGAAAGTAAATTGGCTCAAACAAAAAGAGTCAATATGCCACTCTCACCGAGAATTGAATTTCTAATATTGTAGTCACTAAATCAATAATCTAACCAATTTGACTAGTATTGTTCCTAGAGGCATTTTAAGAGAAGGTGAGATTGGAGCACTTAAAATGGTGATAATAAAATTAAATAAATAATTTTATGTTTTAACCTTTTTTTTTTTTTTAATGGCTTTGGAAGAGTGAGTGAAATAGTCCAATTATTTTTTGTTGATATGACGGAGGGGTTCAACCTCTTTAAAGGTGTAATCGGGTAAATCTCTTTATTGTGTAATAACTTTTAAATCATTAGAAAAACTCTCGTGCAATAAACTCGACCAAGAAAGTGTTGGCATGAATCGAACTTGTAATCTTTAAATATAAAAACCAAGGAGAGTGTTCACACTTGAATGATTAGTAGATCCAAGGTAGAGAGATATATACATCATAACATGTGCTGAGAGTAAACCTTTTTCCCCAAACTTTTATATTAGAATGAATAGATGGAGTTGGGTCAAACGCGGTTTAATTATTAGGAGCATTTTGACAATGGCGTATAGTATAGTATTTGCGCAGTTACGTTGCTTCATTCTGGAGAGTGGCCTCAAAAGTCAAAAGTCAACATTTCCATTAATTTTTCTGGAGCTCAGATTCCTCCATCCACTGTCTGATTGCCATTTTGGCTGTATAACAAAATGAAAATTAAATCATCAGTTTCCGACAAACTCCTACATTCTCTCATTTCTATGTTTGACTTGCTCATAATTTATTACTTGATTTGGACTACTATGAATGAAACCAGCGAGCCTACTTTGTTGAACCCAAATTCCAACCCCGACTTGAAGAAGGTAGAAATAGAAACTAGAAAGGTCCTTTATTAATGGGGATGGTTGTTTGGTAGGTACTCTATCCACCATATTTATAGATAGTCAACTTAATGTATATGTAATTGCCCAAAATGCGTGGTCGAGCGAGTGCAATATGATTCTCGTATCTACAATTCATAAATTCGATTCATGTCAATATTCTCATGGTTGAGTTTGTCGCACAAGACTTCTATGAGCTATTACACATGAACAAAATTTGCTTAATCCAATAGTGATTGTGAGTTCGGTATTTACATTTTGAATGACCACAAAAGAAGCCATTAGGCTTTATTTGTATTGTATATTACTAGAGGTCTTGTTTTAAGTAGTTTCTAGTTTAGTTTTTTTTTTTTTTTTTTTTTTTTTTTTTTTTTTTTGCCCATATTGTTTGGTGTTTAGTTACTCATGAACCAATATAAATCATGGGATTTAATGTAAATACAATTATGGATGCTAAAGAAATAAGACAAATTGGTCACTTATTAGGGTGAGCCAAGAGTATTCTATATTCAAACTATCATAATGTTGGCCATTATTATTTATAGACTAGGATAATATCTATTCGGATCGATACAAGGGAGCAAATAATGCCTACGCGTACACTCACATGTGACTTTTCGTATAATCACAATTAATAGTGAAAGTATAAGACAATTACAACAAATTCTACGCGTCTCAAATGTCAATAGCTTGGTCAATCAAGCTTCCTATGATGGATCGAGCATGCTAGTCTCTAGTAATGTGGTATGCCACTTCATTCTATGGGAAAATATTACTTTTTGTCCCTGAATTGTTTCACTTTTAAAATTTTGATACATGTTAAGTGATTTAATTAAATAGATTTAGTCTCTTAATTATTTATTATGTTGTACTTTAATTTCAGTTTATGGTATTATATAATTATCAAATTACATTGGCAAACTCTGTTTTATGAGGTTATTTTTGTCATTTATAATCAATATCAATAGTTAAAGCAAGTTTCATTCTCTCCATGTGAGCGCCATTTTCACCCGTGAATATTTATTCTAAATGATAAAAGTAACATACATCATATGTTAATGAAGTTTGATAATTATACAATACTAGCGATTAAAAGTGCAACATCATAAACAATTAAGGGGCCATATATGTGAATATTTATTCTAAATGATAAAAGTAACAAACATCATATGTTAATGAAGTTTGATAATTATACAATACTAGCAATTAAAAGTGTAACATCATAAACAATTAAGGGGCCATATATATTTAAATTAACTTATAGGGACCAAAATTATAACAGTAAAACATTTCATGAGGTAAAAAATCATTTTTTTCCCTTGAGTTGGATTATAACCTTGATCAATGAATTTTGGAACAGTCACACATATATAATTCATTTTTATATCCAAAATAAATGAATAAAATAATCGTTAAAGTGTAAAGACTCGATCAAATTGCTTGAAATTTATGACACATAGTGAAGTGTGACACCCATAATCTTGATTGGATCTCATCATCATAGTTGGATTGAACAATCAAAAGTATACGCGCCCGGAATGTGGAAAATGGTGCACTAAATCTCATCGTCTTATCCATTTCAGCATTTCTATCAACCTTCTTGTGTTGAAATCGTCAACTCATTGTTTAATTTGTTCGATGATGAAATTTTTTTTTTAATTTTTTATTTAAGACTTGTTTCTAATAGTGTTGTGAGGGTTTGATTTTATTATGAATGTTGAAATTTTGAGTTTAATTTGAACTGTATTTTATGTGCATAAAAAGACTCGATTAAAAAAAAAAAGACTCGATAATACGATATTAGATTTAATTCTCTAAACTTTAACAAATAATATATCTAAGAAAACATTGATTTGACAGATTATAAATTAGTTTCGGTTGAAAATCATCATTAATTGCTTAGTCCGACAGTGGCATCAGTTGGAAAAAATTACTAACAGTGTACATGAGTCAAGCCTTTTCAGACTCATTTAAGATTTGATTTGCACACTCCATACATACAAAAGAGAGCCTCTATGTTATACAATTCAAACTCCTCCTAAAAGGCTCTTGATAGGACAAGTGCTTTTTCAAAGCCTTTTTCCACATTTATTTTCCAACTCAAATTAGTCTAATATGAAAATCAAGTTCTCATTCACACATCATCCTTTTTGAACATACAATATATCAATTTATTTCTCTTACTATAAAGAACCTGAATCCACTTTGATCTGACTCACAATATATTTGTATCATAAAATAACCACTTAAATGTTATTTTATACTAAAAACTTCAATAATTCATTGATCAACGCCTTGACCATAAATTTATATATCATAATTACATAACCCATACATAATAATTTATAACACACTTTTTTGAGTGGGTAGAGTCGAAGGTCACGTTCTAAACTTCTAATGCATGTGTGACAATGAAAGGAGTTGTTGACTTGTTAGGGTAGGAATATCCCTAACGGATATTTGAAAGAGATTTTTGGGATATTTACCATTATTATTTGAGAGTATGTACTAATGTACAATAGTTTGTAAATTATACAAGACTAATGAAAATTATCTATATTGGATCAATTAAGAGAATATTTGCAAAAATTAAATTTATAATATTTTAATATATATGAGAATTATAATGTATCATAAAACTATTCTTTCAAAGAAGTTTTGAAAGACTTTAATGTTTGAAAAGTATCCACTTCAATTAAAAAACATGTATCATGCAATATATATTAGTTGCCCACTAATAGCATTTAAACAATTCATGATTACAACTTCTCACTCAACAAACAACAAAATTTAAAATGAATTTTAGATTTTTTTTCAACGCTTATTGTTACATAAAGTTGAACACAATATAACATATATCACATACTATCAAGCATTCTTATCGACCTTCTTGTGTTGAAAATGTCAATTGATTGGAGCACGGCTTATCCGATTCAATAATTATGCCACATTCAAGAGAAGTGTGTTTTCTCGTGACAAAAGCCGGTTGGTTTGGCTTAGGAAGAACTGTACTTTCATCCGACAACATTAAAAGTACACTAGGCATGCTAGGACGAACATTTGGATCTTCTTCAACACATAGCAACCCAACATTTATGCACTTCAACACTTCAGATTCCTTGCAACATTTTAGTAGTGAGTCGTCTACTAAATCCATTATGTTTCCCTCGTTCCATAGTTTCCATGCCTGAGACGATGACACAAGAAAGAGGAGAGTAAATCAAGCCAAACATATGTATATAATAAAGTTAAAACATGAACATATATTAAGGTTTATTTGAGGTTTCGGTTATCACTTACATAGCCTAAAAGGTTTGAGACGTCTTCATGTCTGTAGAATGCTGTGTTTTTCTTTCCACTAACGATTTCTAGTATAATCACCCCAAAGCTAAATACATCGGACTTAATTGAGAAGAGTCCACCTAGTGCATATTCCGGAGATAGGTAGCCACTATTGTCATAATACACAATCCAAATATAATGTATAAGATGAAAAGCATCAGTATGTAAATCACCAAATTAAAATACAAAGTAAAATTATGATTTGTATACCGAGATTAAGATTATGATACTTACTAGGTGCCAGCAATCTTTTTGGTATTTGCTTCAAATTCATTTCCAGCCATCATTCTTGCTAATCCAAAGTCTGAAATCTTGGGTGCCATTTCTTCATCCAATAAAATGTTGTTTGTTTTCATATCTCTATGGATAATTCTCAATCGTGAATCGTGATGGAGATATACAAGCCCTCGGGCAATTCCCAATATGATGTCAAACCTCTTGTTCCAATCCAACAACAAGCGACGTGTTTGATCTTGAAAGGTAATTAAATTAGTTTGAAAGAAATTGTGGAAATAACTGAATATATAATGAATTACTTACTGAATATGAAGGTGTCTAAACTCTTGTTTGGCATGTATTCATATATCAAGATCCTTTCTTTCGCTAGCATGCAGTAACCTACTAGATTAACCAAATTTCTATGTTGAAGCTTTGCAATTAGTACAACTTCATTCTTAAATTCATCGACACCTTGCCCAGATAAAGTTGATAATCTTTTTACTGCAATTTCTCGCCCTCCAGAAAGCACACCCTGCACGATCATTCTCATTATTTGATGTTATATATATATATAGAAAGGCAAAAACAACCCAAAATAGATTGATTAGCTAAAGAGATCATATAATGATGGATATATAACCTTATAAACCGGACCAAAACCTCCTTTTCCTAGCTTATTTGCATCGGAAAAATTGTCTGTAGCTTCCAGAATGCTTTGGAAAGTAAAGCACTGAACGTCAATGCTTTTCTCATCATTATCTTCATGGTCTAATGTTTCATGGTCATCCATTCCATGTTCTTCTGTATATAGTGAACAGATCAGAAAAACCATTTCAAAATCCACTTGAAGTTTTTTAAGATTCGATTCTATCAAATTTTCTATACAATTAATTACCTGTTATTTTTAACGTTGTTCTCCTCTTCTTATAACAGACGTAGCAAATACTGCATGCAAGTAGAGCCGTTGCAGCAACTGCTAAACTAGCTATGGTGGCTTCCAGCTTCCAGTGCTTCGAGCTTGTATCTGTTCACACAAAAAGAAAATGAGCACTTCAAATTCACTCATTCTTTTTGTTTTTTAAATGACCAGAAATCCACAATCACTACCCGAGAGAGCATGCATTGCATAATAACTTTGTGACTATACCCTGTAAACCAGTCTAGTTACCAAGTTAACAGTCTAGTAAGTAAACCAGCATAAGCTGTTCATAGTTGACCAGCTCAAAACAAGATGCCAGTCGAACTTGTAACTTTGTAGTTACCAAATTAATAGTCTAGTATACCAGTCAGAATGAGGTAAACCAACTTAAGTTCTACAGTTGATAGTCTTAAACTAAGAAAGTCAATAGATCGCTCTATCTAAGAGTGATTACCTTTGATATTTGGGAATTCAGAGGCTGCAAGTCTGATGTAAATGGTGCTTTCATTACCGACATCGTCTTTCCCGAACTGTTTCAGATCGAGGAGTTCTCCCGCCCAGACAGAACAACGACCATTGCTATCATCATAAGCATAGGCAGTACAAGAACAGTTTCTGAGACAAGTGGACTCACATTCTGCCTGATTCTTAGCCGTCGTGTTTTTAGGATGTCTGGGCAATCTCACGTTTGGATACGCTCTGAATCGATCCATGTCCTCTTCTTGGTGATTAATCCCACACTTCAAACTCGTATTCCTTACGCAGCCGCCAAAGAATTCGCTTATTCCCCACTCTGTTTCCGATCTGTGCCGGAAACCATGCAAGCAATCACAGACGGGGACGGAGTTGTCGCTGCAGATGCCGAATGGGCCGCAATATGCGTACACATCGCACTGGGTTTCCGGGTTAACGTAGGTGTGCATCCATTTCTTGGCGGTTTCCGACCACGTTAGCTCCTTCTCGCGGCCGTCTATGTCGATTATGTGTCGGGCTATGATGGATTGGTCGAGCAGGAAATATGTGAAGTAAGTCTCGTTTTCATTGTCCACGAGCGTGAAGTTGATCACCGGATTTGGCCTGAACGCCACTAAACTTCCGTTGGCGAATTTGCGCAACCCGGTCCCGTAGCCCTCTCTGCCGTTCCAGACGTGAAGTATTTCGGTGGGGACGTAGAAGATGGAGTACGGCCCTGGCGCCGGGTCGTCGGAGCTTTTCCACGCCGTGAGCCCGAACGTTGTTTTGGTTCGCTTGTTGTACCCGAACTTGGAACCCGCCAGATTCGTGTCCGTCGGGTGGTCAAAACTTTGCCAAAGTGGCGGTTTTGTTGAACCGCCGTCGTTCAAAACCAAGTTTCCGTCGTCACCCAGAGTTGCTACGACGGAGCTCCGTTTCACCCCGGCGGCGGCGGTGATATTGGTTGACCACACCAAGTTCTGTGCCCCGTCCACGATCACCAGGTTTCCGTCTAGGATTCTTAATTTGGCGGCGGTGATTGCGGCGGAGGGGACCGGCGCCACCCTATTGGCTACCCAAACTACTGTTTGGGGGGTGATGTTTTTGTACCAAATCCCGACGTAATAGTTTGAAGATTCACCGGGTCGGAAGAATCCCAACTCGAATCTTCCATTCAGAGAGGATATAGTTGTAGTCTGAGTTAAATATTTTTTACCAGAAATGGTTTCTGCTCCATGGGAGAGTGGGGTATTCGAAAGAGAGATGAGTATAAGGAGCCAAGAAAGCAATACAAGAAAATTGTTTTCCATTTCCTATGGCTTCACACAAAAAACCATGTGCTACTTACTATATATATAGAGAGAGTGAAAGTGACTAGACTAGAGTTCGACTTCCACAAGGGCAAGTTCTAGCTATGTGTAGTCCAGTCACCGGTGATTATTGTCGGAAAATGTAAGAAAAGTCATCGTAACCCTAGATAATCTGTAATTATGAATATTATATTCAGTGTATAAATTGTAAACATTCAGTTTGTAAATAGTGTATTTTGGATCCGAGTCCTCTTTGCAAGGTACATTCTGGTTCACAGAATAATTCGCCGAGAAACAATGAGAGTAGTGGTTTTTTTCTTTATTTATTATAAACTAGAGAATAATGATGGATCTGTAATATGAATTAACTATTGATGTACAGAAGTGGGTAGAGTGGAAGACCTGCAATATTGGGTGGCAATGAAATGTCTGCTTGACTTGCATGTTTGAACGTGACGCTATAAAAAATGGTTAATTAATTATTACCGACGACTTTGAAATCGTAGCTATTCAGTCATCGCTAATATTATTTTATGGATCTAAATAATAGTTGGAAAATGTTATGTTAAAAAACAAAAATGCTACCAAGGACCTTGTGGTCCAATGGAATCAGATTGTTCTTCTAAGTGAGAGGTGATTAGTAGTTTCGGTGTCCCCTTTCCTGGTAATAAAAAAAAAAACTAATGTGATTAAATGCTACTGTGATTAATTAATTTTTTCACCAAAAATTTATATGACGTGGTAATAATATAAGTGGATTTTTATTTTTTAATGTTATGTATTCATTATTAGTTATAACTTTTGACATAATAATAAGATATTTAATTCTAATAATTGATATCAGGGTAAGTTATGGGTCGTTAACTAATATTACTGAAATTGTTTGAATAAGATTTATGCAATATAATTATTTTGTATATATTTTTTAAGTTGTATTTCAAACGAAAAGAAAAAGGACAAATGCTTTCGATCGAGCAACTTCCTTGATGATGATGTAAAATGTCCTATTCCAAACAAATTATTTTTTTGGATCTCTATTGCGTTTTACATACACTGACCTTTATCACAAAAAATTGTATACGACTGTTAAGTCAGATAAATTTTAAATATGTAAATTTTTTGTTAGTTAAAATATATATTTATCTATGGGTTAATAAGTACTGCCCTTTGAAAGAATGTCCGAGTGTGAGTAGAGTATGATTCTTGTACCAGAAAGTTACAATTTTATTTGTTACCGACACTCTCTTAATCAAATTCGTCACACAAGATCTTCTTAACTAGTGTGATTTACTTCTTATGTTTGGTCATGTATAAGAAGGGGTGCATGCACATTGGAGGCAGTTGGAGCAGCTGTCTCTCCCCACCCCACCCCACCCCACCCCACCCCACCCCCTTATGTGTGTGTGTGTATATATATATATATATATATATATATATATATATATATATATAAAGGTTCCCGTGCGGTTGTGCGGATGATTAATGTACGTGAGATTTGTACTCAATGTGCGTGAGTGTTGTGCTTAATGTGCCTGAGATTTGTATTTAATGTGCGTGAATGTGTAAAATGCAGCAGAAAATATGGATGTCAGCTTCTTCCCCACCCCCCAGTAGCCATTGCCCCCTCCCTGATGATGATGATGCGGATGCGGCTATGGTGGTTAAGAATTATGGGAATAATATAACAGAAATCCATATGGTATTAACTATATTTTTTTTAATATAAAAATAGTTTTGCTTTAGTAATAAAAAAAATTTAAGTAATGTCATACAGGCAAGGAATATTAGATGGTAAAATTTAGAAATGGTGTCTAACATTACTCAATTATTTTATATATTGTATTACAGAATATTAGACTAAAATTTTCTACCCTTTTCGTTACAATATTAGAATTTCATTGTATTAAAAAGTACTATTTTTTTTGTATGAAAAAATTAATCTGACCACTACTTTGCATCTTAATTTGATCTGCCGGATACAAATGAAAATTAGTTTGAGTATGATATGAATTTTCTGCTTAGAACATTTCATGGCCTGATAAGTAATAATAAAAAAGTATTATTTTTCAAAGTGGTCTTTCAATAGAATGGCCTTTATACTCTCTTTACTCTTTAGCAGACACTCAGACGGCAAGGTTGAGTCAACCCGACTGAGTGCCAAAGACTTGACTTTTGAGCCATCTCCATTATCCCTGGGCACTCTAACCAATAAAATTACTAAAATAGTAAAAATATATTAATATCATTTTCTTAAAAAAATAAAGTTACTGGACAAAAAATTTTCACCAAACGTGACATAGAACTCTTTTTATTTGTTGGTTATCATAAATTGATCCACCAGTTTCACTTTATGTAAAAAAAAAATAATAAATTTACTTATTAATCAAATATGAATTATATATTGGCAAATCATATCTTAAAATTTTTTTATGATATGATAGGAGACTTTGGTGGCTTCGATAGGACATTCATTATTGCGTGATCGATAGGACATGATGGAGAATATACCCGGAATCCAGGCTCACCGTACACCCCGTGCTCCTGTTTGAATTAAGGTCAAAAGGTTCGAATCCCGATCCACAGGTCAAGATCAAACCCGTTTCAGCTGGACCTATAAAAGGGGCCCTAGCCCTTCATTTTGGGGGCTCCTTCATTCTTCACCCTACACACACTCTCTCTATGCATGTAAATTACTCTCAACCCTTATTAGAAGAGATGAATCAGAATAGCCAAGTCAGCAAAGTCAGTTAAACATCACAGTTAGTTTGTTTAGTTTGTTCTTCCTCTGTTAACAGACTACTAGCTTCATGTATATAGCTTCTTCCTCTTCTCTTTGTAAGGTTGATAGAATATACAGATACAAGACACTTTTTCTCCCAAATTCTTTCTTCCAAAACTTCACATGGTATCAGAGCTTTAACGCTCATCAATGGCGTGGAATATGCCTTCCGTTAACACCATCAGACCGCAAACAGGTCCCAACACAATACCTCATCCAATTGCCGTAGATCCTGCTCCGATTCCAGCTTCCACAATTCCAGGGAACACATCGAACACAAGAAATCAAATCAACTTTGATCCAAATGACAACACTAGTCCGTACTATCTGCATATGAATGAAAGTCCGGCATTAGAATTGGTATCGTGCAAGCTGGATGGTAGCAACTATCATGAATGGGCAAGGGCGATGAAAGTAGCTTTGTCTTCGAAGAATAAATTTGGATTCGTCAATGGATCCATCAAGATGCCAAACACAGAAGATCAAAGGTTCTTCTTCTGGGAACGCTGCAATAACATAGTTGTGACTTGGATAATCCGTGTTCTGTTGCCAAGCATAGCAAGGAGCGTCCTGTGGATCGACACGGCAGAAGGAATCTGGAATGATCTCAAGAAGAGATTCAGCAAACAAGATGTGTTCAGAATAGCCGAAATTCAGGCTGAAATTTTCCAAACTAAGCAAGGTAACAACAGTGTGAATGACTATTTCACCAAGTTGAAGTTGCTGTGGGATGAGTACCTCATATTGAGACCTGCACCTGCCTGCATTTGCACTCAAAAATGTAGATGTAGTGAAAATTTCTTGAATCTAGCCAGAACTAACCTTGATAATGACATGTTATGTGCCTTCCTCATTGGATTGGATGAGAAGTATACTGGAGCAAGGAATCAGATTATGTTGATGAGACCCTTGCCAGATGCAGGTGAAGCTTTCTCCATGATCTCTCAACAGGAAAGACAGTTCTCAATTGGGTTCAACAACCCTATAAATCAGTTTATAAATCAGAATGATAACCTGGCTGGGAGTCCAATGCTTGCTAGGAGTGATAAACACTATCCTAATAACAAATCCAAGTTAGTATGCAGTTATTGTGGCTACACAGGCCACACCATAGAGAAATGCTACAAGAAGCATGGGTACCCCCCCGGATGGAAACCAAGAGGAAAAAATGTGGGATCAGCAAATCAGGTCCAAGGCAGTGTACAGGAAAGCAGTTTGACAGTCAACCAAGATGGGTACAAGAAGTACCTTGAATTTCTTGAATACATGAAAAGGGAAAGAAGTACTCCTCTGGACATTGGATGCAATGGAACAACCCCTCAGGCCAACATTATAGCAGCAAATTTTGTTCCTAACAATGAAACAGAAGGTAATGCTATCCCTAAGATCTTCAGTGAATATAAAAGCATATGGATTCTTGATAGTGGTGCCACACACCATATAGTATGTGACAAAAAACTTCTGACTAATCCCACAAAGGTAAATGGAAAATATGTGGCCTTACCAAATGGAAATAAGGCTGCAATCACACACTTTGGCTCTGTTCATCTGTCTAGTAGGCTTGTGCTGAAAGGAGTCTTATGTGTTCCAGTTTTTTGTTATAATCTGATCTCAGTAGGGGAACTGACCAAGACATCAAATTATCATGTGGTGATGCATTCTAATAAGTGTGTAATACAGGATCCACACCTTGGGAGGATGATTGATACAGCTGAACTAAGAGATGGCCTATATCACCTTGATGTGTCAACATGCTCAACTTTAAATTGCATTCCTGTAGTGAATTCTGTGAGTAGTAATATTTGGCATGCTAGATTAGGGCATGCCTCCCATGCAAAGATAAGATTCTTACAATCTCTGAATGTAAATGTAGATGCTGGAAAAGAGAATGTTTGTGATTGTTGCCATTTGGCTAAACAAAACAGACTGCCTTTCATTCCTAGTAAATCTTCTACTACTGATTGTTTTCACTTAGTGCACATGGATATCTGGGGACCATATCATGTTAAAACATTGTCTGGACATCAATATTTCCTTACAATTGTAGATGATTTTAGCAGAGCTACTTGGCTGTATCTTATGAAGGGCAAAGATGAAGTGAGACAGCTGGTGCAAGGTTTTTGTGTTCTAATTCACACTCAATTTGGGAAAACAGTAAAATGCATCAGAACAGATAATGGGAAGGAATTTTCAATGCCTGATTACTATATGCAGAAAGGAATAATACACCAAACCTCATGTGTGTATACCCCCCAACAGAACAGTGTGGTTGAGAGGAAGCATGGGCATATCCTGTCAGTGGCAAGGGCTCTTAAGTTCCAATCTGGAGTACCTGACTATTTATGGGGAGAGTGTGTAATGCAAGCAGTCTACATCATTAATAGATTACCATCAGCAGCTCTTGGTAATAAGATACCCTATGAGATCCTATTCAGTAAAATGCCCCAGTACCAACACCTTAAGGTTTTTGGTTGTCTTGCTTATGCCTCAATACATGAGGGTCATAGAACAAAATTCTCACCCAGGGCAAGGAAGTGTGTCTTTATTGGCTACACAAATGGAACTAAAGGTTACAAGCTTTATGATATGCAAACCAAAGAGGTCATAATCTCTAGGGATGTAATGTTCTATGAAAATTCTTTCCCTTTTCTAACAGATAATGTGGCTAAGGAGATTTTGGATCAGCCAATTATGCCTACTGAGCATGCTGCTAACATTGGTTATGAGCCTATGGTCAGTCAGAATAATCAGAGAGAGCCAAGTCAGCTTGATAATATCATGGAAGAAGTAAGGGAACCTGACACTGCCATTGAAGCTCCTTCACAGCCTCCACCTCCAGATTTGAGAAGGTCATCAAGGCAAAGGGCTGTACCAGCTTACTTGGCAGATTATGACTGTCAGCATGGCAGAACTTCTCCACATAGCATAGCTGCAGTTATATCTCATGATAAGCTGTCTCCCACTTATCAAGCCTTTGTCATGAATATCACCTGCATCAAGGAACCAAAAACTTACAATGAAGCAATAAGACATGAGTGCTGGAAACAAGCTATGGCTGCTGAAATTGAGGCATTACAAGCCAACAAAACTTGGACACTTACTGACCTTCCACCCACCAAGCAAGCTATTGGGTGCAAATGGGTGTATAAAGTAAAGCACAAATCTGATGGCACCATTGAGAGATATAAGGCTAGATTGGTAGCCAAAGGTTATACACAAACAACTGGATTGGACTACCTTGACACTTTCAGTCCAGTTGCTAAAGTCACAACCATTAGGACTTTACTAGCTGTTGCTGCTGCCAAAGGATGGAATTTACATCAATTAGATGTAAACAATGCTTTTCTTCATGGAGATCTACATGAAGAAGTGTACATGACATTACCACCAGGCTTTGTTGCTCCAAAACCAGGAATGGTGTGTAGATTAACTAAATCTCTTTATGGCCTCAAGCAGGCCAGCAGGCAGTGGAATGCCAAGCTTACTGCAGAGTTGATTCAGCTTGGTTTCAAACAAACTATGGCAGATTCCTCCTTATTCATCAGAGGGACAGGTGACACCTTCATTGCTCTTCTAGTCTATGTGGATGATGTGGTTCTAGCCAGCCCAGATAAGTTACAAATACAGAGAATTAAGGAGCACCTCCACAATGTCTTTCAAATAAAAGATCTAGGTCCTCTCAGATTTTTCTTAGGCCTGGAAATTGCTAGAAGCAAGAAAGGGATCTCAGTAAACCAAAGGAAATATGCACTGGAGTTGTTGGATAACACTGGACTCATGCATAGCAAACCAGTTAAATCCCCTATGATCACCTCAACAAAACTGACAAAAGGGAGTGGCACAATCCTAGCTGACATAACTCAGTACAGAAGGTTGGTTGGCAAGATGTTATACCTCACCATCACAAGACCGGACATCAGTTTTGCAACCCAACAGTTATCACAATTCTTGGATTGCCCCACAGACATTCACCTACAGGCTGCTCATAGAGTCTTAAGGTATATTAAGAGTGCTCCTGCTCAGGGCTTATTTTTTCCAGCAGATAACCAGCTCAGGTTGAAGGGATTTACTGACTCAGATTGGGCTGCATGCCCAGATACTAGACGTTCTGTGTCTGGCTTCTGTATGTTCTTGGGATCAGCTATCATCTCCTGGAAATCCAAGAAACAGCCAACAGTGTCTAGGTCCTCCTCTAAAGCTGAATATAGAGCCATTGCTGCTGCATCATGTGAGATTCAATGGTTGCATTATTTGCTTGACTCTTTGGAAGTGAAACTTGAATCACCTGCTGCTCTATTCACTGACAGTAAATCAGCCATGGCCATCGCTGAGAATCCAGTTTTCCACGAGAGAACCAAGCATATCGAGCTGGACTGCCACTTAATCAGAGAGAAACTGCAAAAAGGGGTACTTAAACTACTGTATGTTTCCTCCACCAATCAATTGGCTGATGTCTTTACTAAGCCACACACTCCAGTCACCTTCAATGCCTTCATATCCAAGCTTGGTCTCCATAATATGTATGATCCAGCTTGCGGGGGGATATTAGAAGAGATGAATCAGAATAGCCAAGTCAGCAAAGTCAGTTAAACATCACAGTTAGTTTGTTTAGTTTGTTCTTCCTCTGTTAACAGACTACTAGCTTCATGTATATAGCTTCTTCCTCTTCTCTTTGTAAGGTTGATAGAATATACAGATACAAGACACTTTTTCTCCCAAATTCTTTCTTCCAAAACTTCACAACCCTCTCTACAAAACATAAGAACAAGATTAATAAAAGAGGCCTATTGGCTCTATATTTCTTCTTCTTTGTTCATACATTTACATACACGTACATACATTATACGATGCAGGAATTAGTACTATCAGGACAATTATCACATAAAGTACATTATTTTAACTCCTAAAATATATTATTTTAACACATAAAGTACAATATTTTAACTCATAAAATCCACTATCTTAACTCAGAAATTTTATTATTTTAACACATAAAGTACATTATATACACTAGTATTATCACCCGTGCGTTGCACGGAATAGATTTGTTATAATATTTTAAGAATATTCAGATTGATATACAATTATATAAATTATAATAACGAATATTATATAGTAAATTGATGAAATGAGTTTAATCGATTGTGTTTTTTGCTGTTACCATTGCTTGAATTCGAGCAAATAATTATCCAATTACCCGTGTAACGCATGTGTGATTCACGTGCGACATATGGATAAAATTTTTTATTATATATTTAGATAATAAAATTAAAGATGAAATTATAAAGAATTCTAATATTTGAAAGTGTACATTTATTTGATTATAAGATTAGTGCAAAAGTATCACTCAATTAATTGAATAATATATGACTCGTTTGACTGCGATTATCTTAAAAAAAATCGATATGTAATATGAATTATGTAATTATATTATTACAAAAATAAATATGAGAAAAAAGAGAAATAATTTAATTGTAATTATAATAAAAATAAATACAACGACCCATGTTTAGTTTATTAATTACCATAATAATTATTAGGCAATTATATTAATATATGTGCAATTATACTTTTATACCATAAGTATACCTCTTTTCAGCATATCACATTTGTTTTTACTCATCCTCCATATATGAATAAATTAATTGTAATTATTATAGAAAAAAACTAACGATCCATGTTTAATTGTAATTATACTAATAATCGTGTAATTATTAGCTTAATTAATATAATAATTATTAATCAATTATCAATTATACTAATATATGTGCAATTAATTATTTAATTACCTTAATAATTATTAGGTAATTATACTAATATTTGTGATTAATGCATAATGGCTAGAATTCTAACCTAGTATTGCATGTGTTTATGAGGGGTAAATATATCTCGTTAATGTTTGATGTACACATTCATTAGTATGCTAGCTTTTGGAGAATTTTTTGGCTACGAGTTGGGTGGAGGATTTAAACCACCCCTTGCATAAACCTAATTTCTTCCTATGAAAATAGGAGAAATTGAGGGCTTTTGATGCTTGTGTGCTTGATGAACTTGGAGTTGATACATCACGAGAGCGGGGCATGTAATTCTTTGTTCTAATCCTTGTTTATTGATCACAAGAGTGACTCGTAAACTAGGATACCTACGCATTCCCGCTTGATTCCTGAGTTATTTGTTTTGCCTAATCCCATAGGTTGTTGAAGCATCTAGAAAATAATACCCTTAGCTTGAGTCATATTTATTTATTTCGTGTTTATCTTTCGTCCATATGTGTTTGTTCTAACTTGTTATGGATTACTTAGCTTCTTGTTGATTTCTTAGTGCTGGTCTCAATTTGCATATTACATGCAATAACCTCTAATCCCGAAGACATAATAAAATTGCTCACTCTAGCAAAATTAATCTTGAAGACATAATAAAATTATCTTTCAAACAACTATTGCTACAACAAAGTATACAAATAGAGTGAATGTTATACATAATCCCTACCGACCTTCTTGTGTTGAAAAAGTCATATGATTGGAACATGATTTTTCAGATTGAATAATAGAAGAGTCATTGCAAATTTGAGTTCTTGTGACAAAAGCTGGTTGATTTGGTTTAGGTAAAGTCATACTTTCATCCGTCAACATTAGAAGAACATTAGCCATGTTAGGACGACAATTTGGATCTTCTTCAACACATAACAATCCAACATTTATGCACTTCAGCACTTCACATTCCTTACAACATTCTAGTAGTGAGTCATCTAATAAATCCATTGCATTCCCTTCATTCCATAATTTCCATGCCTGAGATGACACAAGAAACATAAGAGTAAATCAAGTCAAACATAGTAAAATTAAAATATTAACTCATTAAGACTCACTACTGGAAATTCTGAAATTTCCGACCACCTGAAAGTTATTATTTTCGACCACTTTTTGCTTTCAACTTGATTTAAGATCACTTTCAGGTGGTCAGAAATTCAATAATTTCCAGTAGTGACTTAATCATAAGGTTTCATTACTTACATAGCCTAAAAGATTTGAGAATTCTTCACGCCAATAGAACGCTTTGTTTTTCTTTCCACAAATGATCTCAAGTATAATCACTCCAAAGCTAAATACGTCAGACTTAATTGAGAAGAGTCCACTTAATGCATATTCGGGAGACATGTAGCCACTTTATTATTAATTACCATAATACGCCATCCAAATATGAGGCACCAATTGTACAAAATGAAAAGCATAGTAAGTAAATCACTAAAATATTAAGTAAAATTGTTTTGATACATGTATTAAAAAAATTATGGATCGTCAAGATTTACTCAATAATTCAAGTTAAGAAAAAGATGTACTTACTAGGTGCCAGCAATTTTTCTGGTATTTGCTTCAAATGTATTTCCGATTACCATTCTCGCTAATCCAAAGTCTGAAATCTTGGGTGTCATTTCTTCATCTAATAAAATGTTATTTGTCTTTATGTCTCTATGGATGATTCTCAATCTTGAATCATGATGGATGTATACAAGTCCTCGAGCAATTCCCAATATGACGTCAAACCTTTTGCTCCAATCCAACAATAGTCGATGCGTTTGTTCTAAATTGTGAATACAATGTAACTGATTGAAAAAATGAATTTATGAATATATATAGTTTATATATGAATGGAATAGCAAAGATTGAGACATACCAAATATGAAGGTGTCTAAACTTTTGTTCGGCATATATTCATATAATAAGATCTTTTCTTTCGCTTGTGTACAGTAGCCTATAAGTTTAACTAGATTTCTGTGTTGAAGTTTTGCAATTAGTGCAACTTCATTCTTAAATTCGTTGATTCCTTGTCCAGATTGACTAGATAATCTTTTTACTGCAATTTCTTGCCCTCCAAAAAGCACACCCTACAATAAATTTTGTATTATCAGATAATACAAAATCAAGAACATACAGCCTGAAATGGATTCCTTAGATCAGAGATAATTGATATATAACCTTATAAACTATACCAAAGCCTCCTTTTCCTAGCTTATTTGCTTCAGAAAAGTTGTCGGTTGCCTCCAATATGCTTTGCAAACTAAAGAATTGGACGCCAATGTCTTTCTCATCATCAGTATCTTCATCTATCAATTGATCCATTGCATGTTCTAAAGTGAACAATTCAACAAAAATATATCAAAATCCAATTGAACATATATATTGTTAGAATATTTATTAAATAATTCCAAAAAAGTAAATTTCAATTTTGGTCCTGTAACTATAATGGTTCTATTAATTGCAGTCCACGATTTTCAAAAGTGTTAATTTAATACCTTGACTATGTAAGTTTTATCAATTTTAGTCACTCCGGTCAAATTGTCGGTTAAATTTCACCGGAAAAACTGGGTTAAAAACTGACTTTGCTTAATTTGGACCACAATTCAAAAGGCAAATTTGCCCCTCAGATTAAACACTAATTGATGAATTAAGTTTTTCCGAAAAAATTTGACTGACAATTTCGCCGGAGTGACCAAAATTGATAAAAATTGCATAAGTCAAGACACTAAATTAACACTTTTGCAAATCGTGGACTGCAATTAACAGAACCCTATAGTTACAAGACCAAAATTAAAATGTACTCATTCCAAGTTTCCAACAATACAAAAGGTTACAAGGGTAAGCAAAATATCAGTTAACCAACGGATAATCAATAATCCATGTATATGGATGATAAAATTTTCAACACATATATATGTACCAACGTAAAATCTTCTCTTACTTGTTTTCCTCCTCCTATAACAAATGTAGCAAATACTGCACCCAAGTAGAGCCGCTGCTACACTAGGTATGATAGCTTTGAACTTTGAATTTGTATCTGTTAACATGTAGAGAAAATGAGAATTTTTGTTTTGAGTGACAAAAGGAAATTAAACTCGCAGTCACTATGAGAGTGTATACTGGATTGACAGCACCAACTCAAATCAAGAAGGTCAATAAGTTGCTGTGGAGTTAAACTTGTAACATTGTCGTTACTAAATCAATAGCCTGACCAACTTAGATGGATTGTCACAAAAGTGAAAACTTTAAATTTGTTCAAGAGTTAGTAATTAGTAATTACCTTTGTGATTAGAAAATTGAGAGGGTGCAGCAAATCTGACGTAAATAGTGCTTCCATTGCCATCGTCTTCCCCAAACTGTTTCAGGTTGAGGAGTTGTCCCACCCAAAAGGAACAACAACCACTGCTATTACTATAAGCATAGGCAGTACAGGAACAATTTCTCAGACAAGTGGACTCACATTCTGCCTGATTCTTAGTCGTCGTGTTTTGAGGATGTCTGGGCAATCTCACGTTTGGATACGCTCTGAATCGATCAATGTCCTCTTCTTGGTAATTAATCCCACACTTCAAACTGGTATTATTCCTTACGCAACCACCAAGGAATTCATTCAATCCCCACTCTGTTTCTGATTTGTGCCTGAAACCATGCAAGCAATCACAAACGGGCGTTGAGTTGTCGCTACAGATGCCAAATGGCCCACAAAACGCATAAACGTCGCATTGTTTCAGCGGCGAAACAAAGGTGAGCATCCAGTCCTTGGTCGCCTCCGACCAAAACAGCGTCTTCTGTTGCCCATTAACGTCGAGGATGTGTCTGGTTATAAGGGATGGAACAAGATTGTAAAACAAAAAGTAAGTCTCGTTTTCATTGTCAACAATGGTGAAGTTGAAGGATGCATCGAGTTTCTGGCGATATGCACTCAAAGTCGGCGATGAAGTGCCGTTTCCAACTATGGTTTCGCTATTCCAATAATCCTCTGTGCCGTTCCAGACTTGATGCGCGTCGTTGGGGACATAGAAGAAAGAGAATAGGCCGGGGGCGGGATCGTCGGAGTTTTTCCACGACGTGAAAACCTGTTTGGTTTTGGTGCGCTTGTTATATCGGATCTTGGAACCCGGCAGAAACGTGTTGGTTGGGTGGTCGAAACTTTGCCAAAGTGGGGCTGTTGAATTGATGCCGTCGTCGCTCAGTATCAAGTTTCCGTCGTCGCGAAGAGCTGCTTGTACAGAGCTGAGTTTAGCCGCCGCGGCGGCGGCGGCGGCGGCGATATTGGTTGACCACACCAAGTTTTGTGCGCCACCGTCTAAGAGCACCAAGTTGCCGTCGAGGATTGTTAACTTGGTTGAGTTGATTGCGGAGGAGGGGATTGGGGTGACCCTATTTGCTACCCAAATTGTGGTTTGAGGGGAGATGTTTTTGTACCAAATACCCACGTAATAGTTGGGAGATTGACCTGGTGTGAAGAAACCTAACTCAAATCTTCCATTGGGAGAGGATATAGTTGTAGCCTGAGTTATATATTCGTTTCCAGAAATTGTTTCTACTCCATGGGAGAATGGAGTATTCAGAAGAGAGATGAGTAGAATAAGGAGGCAAGAAAGCACTACAAAGAAATTCATTTCCAGAAAGTGTGTACCTGTACCCTGTATCTTGTGCTTAGAGCTAAAGTAACGAACAGAGTTGTATTTTTTTTTTTTTTTTTTTTGGTTGATCGAAACTGCAATTACTATCATAGTGTGTATTGATGGGATAAAACTGATCCAATACATTTTGGGTCGGGTCATACAATAAATGAGACAAAGGTAAGCACAAGAATATGAGCTACGAGGCCGCTGGGTGGAACCAACCGTTGAGGCCGCCTAACCTGATCACAGTCGTGGGTACGCAGGGGTCGGTCAGCGGGAGGGCGAGCCGTATGCGCTTACTCAGTAGCCTGCTAGACCGTCCGAGAGCTCCTAGATTTCGGCCCAGTAGACGGCCGGGGAAGGGCTAAGCCGCTCGGGTGTCCGGACGAGTGTCCCAAGCGTTCTCTCGGCTCACTTAGTAGCCGGACGACAACGGGAGGGATTACTAGTCGGAGGAGTAGCTGAGTAGTCGGGGTAAGACCCGACTGGAGAGGCAAAGGTGGGGGGTCGGTGATAAGTGCATTTATGTCCATATTTTTACCCCTTGTATAGACATATTTTGAGTGAAAAACACTTTGATTTTATGCAAAGAAGTGCCTTAATTCCTTTGTTTATATCTTTTGATGCATAAATTGTAGAGTGCAGGCAATTGTGTGCTTTTGAGGTATTTTGGATGAATTTGGAGTCAATGAGAGCCAAATATGAAGCTATGGAGATGGATGCAACACTTCCAAAGGAGTCTAGGGTGGTTCTTTCAATGGTCTTGGTCATGTGGGCAAACCAAAGCAAAAGAGAAGCAAGCGACCATGCAATTGCAATTCCCGACCTGCACGTCGACGTCATGGTTTTTGGATCATATCTCAAGCTAAAAACATCCAAATTACATGATTCTTGTCTCATTGTAAAGAAGACTCAAAGGGCTACAACTCATATTCAGATATCAAAGCCTAAAAAGGAAGCCACAATGGTCAAAATCATCCTTGAAGTTGAAGTTCCGAACTTACAGATTTCACCCGAAACTGACCACTGTTTGGTAATTTGATCATATCTCGGCCTAGAAATGTCCAAATGTAGTGATTTTTGCTCCATTGGAAAGAAGACTCGAAGAGATACAACTTTCATGAAGACATCGAAGCCTAATTCTGAGCATAAAGTGGTCAAAATCAGCCTACAAGTTGGAGTTGCGTTGCAGAGAAGCACTCGACGCGTCGAATCTGGGCAGTGAGACTCGTTTTGCAATCTGTAAATGCTCGACGCGTCGAGAATTACTCTCGACGCGTCGAGCCCCCCGTCTTTGCTCTATTTTAGCTGAGTTTTCACTCATTTCTACTCGGTTTTGAACCCCATTCGAACCCTAACTATTTTCTACTCTTTCTTTTCATATTTTAGTATTAGATTAGGTGTAGATTTAGGTTCTTTATCATATTTCAAGCTTGTATTGAAGGATCTACACTTGGATTTCAAGATTCTACCATCCATTTTCAATAGAGAAGCTTTCCTTCCTTTTATCCCGTTCTTTTGCAAGATTTATGTTCGTTACTTATGCTTTTGTGTTCTTTATGTTATTTAATCATGAGTAGTTAGTTTATGGACTTGAGTTAGGGTTGTATTATCTATCTTGATGCTTGATTTGTGATTATTGCAAAAAGGGGAAGAACTCTAACCTAGGGTTCTT